TGATGTGAGATATTTAAAAAATGATTTCATAACTTTCAAAACCAATTTACCAATTGTGTTGTGTTGGACAAAATAACTCTCCTAACCAAGATTTTTGAAAGAAAACCTTTCTCCACCACAAATTGTAAATCCAGAAAAACAGTTATACCAATGAATCGATGTGAAAGATAAAAATCACAACAAATCGACAAATAAAGTGAGATACAAATAAAATCAAGTATCAATTATTCTCTCCTTATGATTCAAGATTTTAATGAAATAAACCGAAAGATGCGTTCCAACATTTCTTTTGAGGATATGCAACGTCTCTATAGAAGCAAAATATACTATAACTTGTCTGATCAGTAGATTTTTACAATCGTTTTTTTAGAAAACCGTAAGAAATATTGATAAAGACATACAAATTAAGGATTTGTGTCAACAAAGATGTTTTTTTTTACATTGTAACGGTATTTTTTCTTTTTTTTTGTCCATAGCATTCTATATGTATAACAATTTGGTGCAAATACTTAGATAATTATTTACTAAACACCAAATTTATATGATATTAAATACACAAATAATCTATACATTATAAATTATTGTATATTTTACCACGTTAATTTGACCAAAATTCCAACAAGTAGTGAAGAAGATATGGGCAAAGTGAAGAGAGAATCTGACGCAATCCACCACAAGTTAGTAAAACCCCACAAACCCCGCCCAAAGAAGAAGACAATATCTATACTCTGTCGCCGACGATACATACACCTCTACTTACACTCCCGCCACGGCGTATGGCGACGCCTCTGAGTCTCTCGTCGGTATTCTCCTCGAGACTAAATACTACTCGCTCTAGAGTCATCCCCATCCGTCGGAAGGGATTCAATCGGCGTCGGATCATCCTCGTCACGTCTTGTTCCGGAGGAGGAAAACCGACGATTCTCGTGTCGGAGAAGCTCGGTCAGTCTGGGATTGACCTTCTGAAAAAGTTCGCTAATGTGGATTGCTCTTATGATCTGAGCCTCGAGGAGCTTTGCACGAAGATCTCGCTCTGCGATGCGCTTATCGTGAGAAGCGGCACGAAAGTTGGGAGAGACGTGTTCGAGGCGTCTCGTGGGAGGCTTAAGGTTGTGGGAAGAGCTGGGGTTGGGATCGATAACGTTGATTTAGCGGCTGCGACGGAGTATGGTTGTTTGGTTGTCAATGCTCCGGCGGCTAACACGGTGGCTGCTGCAGAACACGGGATCGCTCTTTTGGTCGCCATGGCTAGGAATGTTGCTCAAGCTGATGCTTCTATCAAATCTGGTGAGTTCACAATTTCGTAAAATTGAATCGTGCTTCAATTGGCAAATGTTGAAATGTGTGGATAATGCAGGGAAATGGTTGAGAAGCAAGTATGTTGGTGTTTCACTTGTGGGGAAGACTCTTGCTGTTCTTGGTTTTGGTAAAGTTGGATCAGAGGTTGCTAGGCGAGCCAGGGGGCTCGGGATGCATGTCATTACGCATGATCCTT